CATTTAATCCCATTGTTCAACTCATGATAATATTATGTACAATAACGGGTTTGGATAATCAATTAAAAATGATTTTACGAGTGGTTATACACATGTGTGGACTGAAAACAGATGGGTTTCGGTTGCAGATTGGTATATCGAATCATCGAGATACTCGAAATACCCAAAGGCAAATAAATATGTTTGTTTCTTTTTTTTCTATTCACACCGCCTGTAAGACGTTTAATGTGTTCATCACAAAAAAGAAAAAAAAAAAGAATTAATATTCATTTTAATGTCTGCAGTATATTATTAGGTTTTTTTTATATTTTGTTTTACTCATCTTCTTGAAGTGTATTTTAGGCTTACGCAATATATTTGAATATCTTATTATTAATGTATTATTATTTTATATAATTCGGTAATTTGGATGTAAATTGTTAAACATACCAGTATGCTATTCATGTATAATGAGGTCTAAACGCGTATCTGATTGAGAAGAATCTCGAAACGATCTCGAGATTTTAGTCACATAACAACTCAATATCTGTTCCCTACTCTAGCATTGTTAATTTGTGATACTATAATTTGTTAGGTAAGTACTTATTTAGTATTTCATAGCAACTAAGACGTATTAAACATTTATACTGGTACTAAGTAAGATTATTTTTAAAATGTATAAAAAAATATGTGTAATTTTTTTAATTCATATTTCGTAAAATTAATTATCATTATAGGATATGTATGACGCAATTATTAAATTAACTCAATTAAACAACTAGCATACTTAATTTTTATACTATAATATTATTAAAACTGCACCGGCGCAACAAGAGTGAAAACCTCGTAGGGCTAACGTTTCTGATTTCTTATTGAACGATGGTATCGTATTACTTTTTAACAACTCCCTCCTTCCCAGTCATTTAGATGGATATCAATTCTAAATTTCAAAATAAATAATTGAATAACCGCGTATATCGTTTAATTATATACATATTTTATATGCTTACCTAGGTAATTAGGATATAAACGTTTGTATACTTAAATAGCCCTAGAAATTAATTGTAATATTATGCTAAAATAAGTTTGATAAAAAAATTGTGGGAGCAAAGTATCCCGACGAGTTTTTCTCCTCTCGATTGTGTCTATAATATGATTACGAGATTGAGAACTTATGTTATTTTAGATTTATAAGGTTACCAACGTAATATTTATCAATAATTATAAACAGATAAGTATTAAAACCATGACAAAAAAAGACGTCCTAGGATAATGGTGACGGGTGCAGCCACTGTTATAGATAATTTAATGTATACTTGTAAGCAACGATAAACCATTGCTTACGAAAAAATGACTCTGAGCAGAGTTCAGTTGATAGTGGTGCTTTGTTAACAATGTATGTCATTTTATTGTAAAATAATTAAATAGGATTTATACATTTTCTTCAAAAATATTAGTTTAATGTTGTACCGATTTTCCCAGTTTTCATACGTTTTTACCCGTTTTTCCACATTAGATGGGAAAACTCTTAGGGAAATCGAAAAAGTACCCCACGCTGATTTCCTTTCAGAAAAAGTGCTACACGTAGAAATCCAAGTAAGTCTTCTGGTAGAAAAGTTGCACACATAAAAAAAAAAAAAACAAACATCTTTGTAAAACCACAAACTTCTTCGCTCCACTCAGAATCTAAAAACGACAAAACGACACGCCTGATACAATAATATTCGAATTAAACGCGACTGTTTTTTTAATTTTGCACAAAAATACGATACAAAGTTGCAGTGTTTAACCATAACATACGGATTACTGTAGAAAAAAAAAAAAAAAAAAAAACAAAACATAATTACAGACACGCTTCGTAAATAGGACTGTTTAATTATGTAGGTATTCTAGCGCAAAGGGAGGCCTATGTATTGCGATAAAGGCGAAACCCCATTGGACTCTACATTTTTGTGCACTAATTCCGTGTATAATCGGTACACACCAGTTTTAAATGACTTTTTTTTTTAATGTATATATTTAAATACCCGCGCGTATAAAACTATTTTGTTAGGATTATTTACCAAGTTGAAAAAAATAAAATCGTTATTATTTTATTAATACGACTTTTAACATTTTTTAGTTATGGAACCAGTCTTTGTAATATTAGCATTTATTAATATTATTTTGTAAAACGGTTTTTTTTTTTTTGTTTTATGTATAAATATTATATTATATTTAATAATATTTTATGTTTACGTGAAAAACAATAATTACCAATTTGATGTAATTAGTGATTATGTATTTTTTAGATTCTAAGCGTTTGAATAGCAATTGTTCTGCAGTCGTCTGTGAAGAATATTTTAACCAGAAATCTTGCTCTGATCATCAACTTTAAGGATAGTTACTAATAAAACATTTTTTCTAGTATAGTCGGTCCAGCGAGTAGGTCATTTTTTAATTTTGTTCATAGTTTTTTTAATAATTGAGCGAAAATGGCGGAAAAATAAATGTATAATAATTACCTAACCTTGAATTAGTTGATTTCCAAGTATTTTGGCGATTTACAGGTTATTTAGGTACGTTTGAATTTGTCGAGTATTTCATTAGTTTTTATTTGGTTAGGTTTTTTGGCTCGCAACTACTTGAAAATTTAACACGAATTCGTTGTAATTGATAAAAACATGAAAATATGATAATAATATAGTTTTTTTTTTTTTTATTTGCGTTTTAATTTCAAATTTTGACGAAAATCAAAATTAGTGGCTTTTTTTTTATTATTTGCCATTATACCATCGCGTTTAATTTTATTTTATAGGTATGTAAATTGTATTTAATATTTGTTTGTAAATAAATGAATCCAGGATGTAAAATTAAATCACATTATAAATATTTGTTTTAGACGAACTATTTACTATAGTTTGAATTACTGAGAACAAGTATTTTTTCAATATTTCAATATTAAAATGTATATAATATAAACGAGTTTTAAACAGTAAATGAATACAAAATATAAAATACATTAAAAACTTTAATTTTTCATTTTACGAATAAACAGAACAATGGACGGGTTCGACTAAAATAATAAAGTGCGATAGGAATGAAAAGAAAAGGGAGGATAGAGTCGGTAAGAGGAAAATAGAGAGGGATGATTGGGGAGGAGAGTGGTGTAAGAGGGTTACTTTATGGTAATATTATGCGTTATTGTTATTTGTTAATTTATCTATTTATTGTGTTTTAGTATACCGGTGAGTTATATATTTTTCCGTTTTTTTTTTTTAAATTTATTTGAGTATAATGAAATATATTTTAATATTAAAGAAAATATATATTACAATAGTAATTGTATAAAATATATCATGAAAATTCGTTTTGAAATGATTGAATGATGACAATTTTGAATGGCAGCTCACGGAAAATGTATTAATAATATTACTGATGGAATCGGACCAAAAATAATATTAAAACAAGTTTTGTTCGCTGAAAAAAAAAATAGATAACAAAAAAACACGGATAAAATATACAAACATGTAAGACATTCAAATATTACAATACCTTACTATTCATTCGAATTAACACCGAATGGATTATGACAGAGAGTGAAAAAAAATAAACATAATATTTAAATAACTTGGTGACCATTACAAAATGCGACTACGAATTATTCTTTAATTATAGTATTGCAGTCGTGTACGGTTTTTGTCAATGTCTTATTTTTAACGAAATTTCCCCCCAATAAAAAGAAAAGAAAGTAGGTACTTTATACAATTTTATGTTATGGTAATTAAAAATTAGTAAGTATTATCGCGAAAACGTAAAAATCCGCTTAGAAAAGTAGTAATTAAGCTCCTTGGTTTGTTTATCGGTTTTAATGTATTCACGCAGTTTATTTAGAAACTGTAAGTACGTAGGTATTAAATTAAGAGAATTTCGTGTTTTTAGAAAACTCGATTCTTAAAATCATATAGTCTTTTTTTTCTCTGGCAGTTTGTGTTTTTAAAAATAACTTACTAGAGTATTATGTATGTATATATCCATGAATTGGTAAGTATTTTATTGTTTAATCGATTGTACATCACAGTAACACCAACGCCTGTAGAAGAGGAGAAGAGAGATCCAGTTTAAACTCGATACTGAAGTAAATAAAGTGAAATTCTCAAACGTTGACAAACCCTGTCGTATGGAAATAAAATGGGCGAAAGCCACTTTGGATAGGTCACATTTTAACAAAAGAAAAGTCGCATGATAGAGAAAGAACGTAAGAACCGTAATACGAAATTATTATAGTATTATGGGTATTTTTAGAGGATAACGGTTGGTAACAGGGAAGCATCGACCACTGATGATTTGGATGTGTCCCATTTGTCATAACAAAAAGTCAACAATTGACGGAAGAAACAAAGTTAATTTTCCTCAGTGATCTATCCAACGTAATTGCATAACAAATTGGAGTTCATTTTCGTTTATAGGTCCTGACGCGGGCTTGCGAATGGAGTTGGCTGGCCAACATTGTGATTTCTAATTGATATTTTATCACAATAAGAGCACTTTTGATTTTGTTTCGATAGCCGAGAAAAAGTTAACTGGCGTCTGACAACTTTTGGTTTTTGCTTGTGATTTTTCATGATGCTGATTATTCAAAAGAAAACGGAAGCAGATGCGCATAAAGAAATGACGGTTACTGGTGCACTGGCATTAGGCCTTAGCGCTGTTGTGGATAATTGGGTTCGCGCTAAGAAAAAAAAAAACAAAAACTCGAAAAAAATAATCATTCCGTTAATTAATTCCGCTGATTTATATTGTATTCCCGCGTGTGTTCCGAACTGCGTAATTAAGACTAAAAATCAACGTACAGAAATTATTGTGACGAAAAATCCCTGACGGCGGGGGGAAAAAAAAAAACGTCTCTTGCAATCGACGATCGCGTAGCCATAGTGCGTACACCATAATAAAAAATATCCGATAATGTCCAAAGCGAACCGTTAAAACGTTACGTAACGTACCGCGCGCGCACCGTCGCGTACGGTGGATTCCGTTGAATTTTATTTCGTCACGGGCTTGCGCTCCGTCGACGCGAGTCCCGCGGTTCCCCCGCGAACAATCCGAACGGAACACCCCGTCCCAATAAGTCGGGGGGTAACGGCGGCGGCCGAGAGCGCCGCCGCCGCAACAGCGGCGACGATGCGCGTCCGCGTATGCCGCGCGTCGCGCCGTTCGAGAGCGAAATTACGGTCCCGCGACACCGTGATCGCGGGCGGCCGCGAATCGATTTCGTTTCGCGCACAGAGTGCCGGGATCGCGGCGACGTTGTGGATGATAAATTGTATTCGTTTTTTAAAACGCGCGCGCGCGCGCGTAAAAAGGTTTCGCGTACGACCGCGCGTGATGCGACCGTCGGGCCGCCGCACGCACGCAGCTGTACGTGCGGCGAGTGTACGCGGTACCATAACGCAACCTAAGACTCGTTTTTTTCGGTTTCGATTCAAGGCGACGTTTTCTCGGCCGGTTTCGATCTCGGTACAATTTTGAAAAAAAAAAAAAAATCATTATTCATTAATAACAAAACGCGTACGCAACGGCGCGTAATGATAATTTACGTACGACGCCGCGGCCGTGCGCGATATTTCGTATTTCTGCGCGGGTAACGACGCGTTTTTTTCGTACGGTGTGATACAGGGCGATTGATCCCGGAAAATACGTTCGTTATCTCGGATAGTGTTCGCTTTGCTCCGCGTTTTGTTTTGTTATTTTTTTTCCAGATAATTTAAAAAAAACAAGCGGTTCCAAAAACGTTCGTCGTCGTTTTTTTCTCTGTCAATTATATTTACGCATGTTTCCATTTCAACGCCAAAATCTATTTAAACTAAAACTTCATTTCTACAGGGGTGGCCAAAAGTCGCGCAACGAGTTTGCAACACAGTTTTTATAAAACTGTTGTGTTCCATGTTAAATATGTTGTTTTTTTATAAACCTTGCGGTTGTTGTACGTAAACAAGATAACGAGACCAAAGTAGCAATATGACGTAACGGGAAACGACGTGCAGGGAGAAACTGCGCCGTAACGCGCGTTCCATACAAGACGGTAGGTGTTGCGCGACTTTTGGCCACCTTTGTATATTAATAGCGGTTTCTTATTTTATTTAATTCGCTATTTTCGGTAAATCACTATCCACGAAAAACAACCTGCTGTTATGTAGCGGAGCTTGTTTCATAAACTGTCAAAAAAAAAAAAAAAAAAAAACAATCCGAAAAAATCAATACTTCTTGAGATAATGAGTGTCGAGGATTAATCACTCTGTACATATATGTATGTATGTATGTATGTCTGTTTTTTATTATATTATTCTAAGAATCTGTTTGTTTGCACTCGGGTATAAGCATTACGAAATTCGGATATTCGGACGTCGACACACACAGTCGGTGATAATAAAATGAAAATTTGTGGACATTTTTTTCGTCGTCATCCGCGGAAGTGCGTAGGAGTATCATACGAGTGGGTGTACCAAAATAATGTATTTATTATACGTGTTGATACTTCGATAATACCGAGAAGTTGGGACCGTCCAAGGATAACTCCGTCCAGAGAGGTTTTATAATAATATTATTATTTTACATGGGTGAACCTATATACATATGTATACAGAGTGTCCTCGAAGTGTGTACTAACTGCGTTATCTCGAAAAGTACCTATTAACACTTTTGAATTTTTTCTTTGAAAACCAAAAAAAAAAAAAAAATGCAGCTCTAATCGCAGGAGCAAACAGTGAGGAGAGGTTAGGGGGTTAGACCTCCCTCAAACTGTCGAATAGCAACCCTCAAAAACTAACTAAATATTTATTGAATCGTATGAATACGATAATATATTAAGCGTGAACAATGTACATTGTAACAGTATTTAGTTTTGTAAAGGTTGAAAAGGTGTTATCAGGTTTTTTACCAGGTTCACTATCAAAACTTTTCGCGCAATATTCGTTTACGGTTCAACTATTATTGTTTTGTGGCGGCCACTGGTTGCTCTGTAACAGGTTTCGAAACAGGTATTCTGGTATTAAACATTAAGTTGTAACATTTTTTTTCCCGCTCATTTGAGATTAAGCCTTCCAAATTTGAAAAACTATTGGTTTCAACTTTTCAAAAATTGATTTGTTTTTTAAATGAATATTCCATCTATATTTATGGGATTTTTTTTAGTAGAGGATGCTATTTTTCAATCAAAATTGTAGTCGTTTTACCCCCTCTCCCCTCCCGAATCTGGGTGAAATAAAATAATCGCAATGTGATAGTTTAGAGCAGTTTGTATCATAAATTGTCAACAGAAAAAAAAAAAAAATCGAATTTATTACTTTCCGAGATATCGCAATGAATACACTTTCGCGGGACACCTTGTACGTTACCCGGTTGATGTTAAACAAAAAAGGCACACTCGTTACAATATTATACTTATATTTACGATATATTATAAATTATTTCAGAAGTTTCATATTGTATTATAAAGTATATTATATCCACACGTGGGATGGACGTGGGGTGACGGAATACATGAACTCATTTTTCAGAAATTTTATTTCGTTTCGCGGAACGTACGGCATGGTACATCGTACATATTTTTAAATTTTTATTAAAACGCGTGTCTTTATTACAGTTCGAACGCTGTTAAAACAATTACTTCATGACGCTCAACTCGTTTAGACTCAGAACGCAACGCATTGGTTTTACCATGCTGTAGGTATACGATTTTAGAATTTCATTTCTAGTTGGTGCATCGGGATGTGTGTTTGATTTTTAGAATTTCATATTTACGAATTTTATAAAACCGTTTGGCCTAAATAGAAATGCTTGGAATTTAACACGCGATACCTTACAAGTTGTACTCGGCGGTCAATAACACGAAGTTGAGGGTAAAGTAGGTGAGTAATAGTAATAATTATTTTGTTTATTTATTAATAGGCAAAAGTCCGAATTCATTGACAAATCATGGAAAAAAAATTACCATCATTGTAAAACGAATATATTGCTCACTCCGTTCATAATCTAAAAGAAACTTACAGCAGATAATGATATAACGTGGTTTTTAATAAATCTATTATCAGATATACTTGGGCGCTGGGCGTCAATACATACCGACACGATATCGATTTTGGACGAAAACCGGCCATTATTACTTTTAATTGTGTTGTTTAGTAATTTCCTTATACTGATGTATTCCAGAATTGATTCACTTTTCCCGGATGCATGGAAAAAAATAAGATTATAGATTATGCAAACTTAACCTAACCTACTTGATGGTTCAAACCTGTTGCTTCTCCTGAGCGTAAGCCTAAAACCGAGCCGATGAAAAACCACTCTTGGCTTATAGATAAAGCCAAGAGGAAAATAAAGTCAAATCATTGCGAACGAGGCCGGAGTTGGACTAAACTTTTGGGAAGGATTAGAATAATCCAAGTATTCTTTTTGTTACACAAAAAAAAAAATTAGCATTTATTTTTAAAATAATAAACAAAACTTCGGGAAAACAAATTTTTTTTTGGGGAGCTGGTGAACCCCCAAAACTCCTCCTCAGATACGCTCCTGGTTACAATCACAGTATCACAGGGCTCTAAGTGGATGCAATTCGTGATTCATTTGATGCGGTTTTGTTAATATGCTCGGCGGGAGACGCGCCAGCCAAACCGACTGTATACTCATTTTTGTTTTTTATCTTGACGCCACAAAAGCCAATCATATATTATTATAATGTAGCGTACGTCATTTTCCGGGAAACCGCTTTGGTAAGCCGCTTTCCCGGTAAAATTTGGATTTTTTTAAGATGTTAGATGTTGTTGATGCGGTATTTGACTTTGGGTATTATTATTTAATAATTGTAGATTGTTTACGACCAGAGTTCAGAGGGTTTCTTCGCCACAGAATTTCACGCTGGCACAAAAGGATAATAACATAAAATAGCTTGTATGCAGCGTAAGGAAAATATGTTAAGTATATAGGTACTTGTTCGTGAACTCTACTTTGAGACCTCATATTCTTTTGTATTTACAACCTGCTCTCGTGCGCCACCTGTATTCTGTACAGACAAGGCTTTTATGTGCGAGACGAGTACACGGAAGTATTGTGTAAGGGATCGCAGGTTTTTACATTATTTTTAATCAAATTACAAAAAACACACAAAATTGAAAATAATGTAACCATCATTACCGTAAACTTACTCGTTTTTCATAGATTTATTTTCGCAATTAAAAATTATGAATTTATATTTAAATACACGATTAGTGATCAAGTTAGAGCAATTTTAATTATATTTTTTGGCGTGGCCATTTAAATTTTAAATTTCGAATTGATTGAATGATTTCATAAACGAATATATAACTATTTTTGTTTCTAGATTTATTTTGATAAATCCCAGGTGTAGATACTATAAATCACATTTACTGTTCGGTTGTTAACAAACTCACTTCGTTCACCCACATTACTTTAAATTTCAAATAAGTATAAATAGGTAAAGTAACAGATATGTAAGCAGAGCTCTAAATACTAATAAAAAAGCTTTCAACTTTAATCAATTTACTGACACGTGAACAAAATTATTATTATTGTACTGCGTTTGTCTTTTAAACTAACAAATAATAAGAATAAAAAAAAAAAAACCAATGCCTTATCATTAAATCAAGTTAACCGAAATAATAACTAAGACTATAGCGATAGGTAATTGTTCAGAAATTATGAAATATAACTGCTGTACATACAGAGCATTTTTAAGGCAGTTTTCTGTGTCCATCTGGACACACAGTAAAGTCTATTGGACACACAGTAAAGTCTATTGGACACACAGTAGAGTAAGCTTTTGTTTACTGTGTGTCTACTAGAAAATAAATGGTTAATGATAATATATGTACTAAAAAAAAAAAATCTGCTCATACAATTTTTATAAAAATTATATATTTACATGTATATATGTTTGTTTTAGATCCTGACCTCCACAATGAATGCATCGTATTTTATTTCAATAAAAAATTGATTATATCATTATTATTGATTGCAGTGTTGCATTCTAAAAAAATTTCATAAATTGCAACTAAATTAAATTTTAAAAATGAATAAACGATTATTTTTCATTTTTAGTTATGTTGAATATTGCAGTTTTTTTAGGACGCATTTATACAATTTTCCCGGGAAAACATATCATATTCTTACGGCAGAGTATAGAGAGTTATAATAAAATTTTTTTAGAAGAGTTAAACTAATATCCGTTAAAGTACTTTTTTTTTTTTGTATTGGCGCAAAAATTAATATGCGGCACGAACGTTTCTGTAGTCTATGCATACTGTATAGTTACGTTCTTAAAACAGTGTTCAAGTCCGGAAAAAAAAATATATATAACACAATTTTAAAATTCTATATTATATTACGTTTGAATAATTTTTTCGAGGAAAAATCCGCGTATATTTGATATTAC